ATAATAAATTTTTAGTTTTGTGATGGTGATTTTAATTTGATGTGGTTTTCTAGCTCGTAGTGTAATGTAATGTAGTGTGATATGATCAAAGTTGTGTGTTTTTTGCATGGTGTGCCAATTGTGTCCCAAACAGAAATTGCTTTTGGATTCTCCAAACACCAATATAAAGTGATAAGAAATTAATGATCAATACTCCTAAAATCAATTTAACAATTTCATTTATCTCATAATAATTAATAGGTCCCTACATATCCATATATGCAGTCTTTTAAACATCTACTCGCAGATTTTTTCGTTTTTCAGGCTACGTCACAATCATCGAATGACGTGAAATATGTGAACAAGTTTCGGCAGACTGACTCTGATGAATCTTCCGTATTAAGCTCAAAGGATCCTATGAAAAAACATCTTCCATTCCTTTATCCTTGCTCCCACCCTTCATAACCAATAAATTACAATACTTACCTCAGTAACAATCCCCCAATCTAATTGTATTATACTTAAACTGTTACCAGTAGTATTTAATATTTGATGTAATCTGGATTACAATTTGGCAATATTTTGGCATGTCTTTGGTGAATGAAAAGGTTTAGCGCACCTCTTCATACACTCAACTTTGGCAACTTTGGTTGGGTAATTTGGCATTTGACTCCAATTATATTCAGCTTGGCGAAATCATTTTTTTGTCTATATACTAAATACTGTTCACTATTGTGTGGGAATTTTTATAAAATTATTAAAATGGTGTGGCAAACAATTCTTATTTTTTTTTCACATTTCATTTTTTATTCTAATTTCTATTTTACATGTTTATTTTTTATTTTTTGGTTACCATATAATTTATCTAAACTTCTTCCCTTTTCTAATTTTATTAATGCCCTATGATTGTGTGTGTGTGTGTGTGCAAGTGTGAATGATTTGATTCAATAGTTTTAGATGAGTGAACACGTACCACTTCTTTTTGGCAATACCTTCCATCTTATGGACCATTCCCCGAGCACCGACTTCCTTGTTTACTTCGTGACATTGGCCAATCAGCAAAATGCAAAAAGTGATGACACAATGCTCCCTTTTCTCTTCCGCTCCGACACTTTTCTCACTCAGACAGATTTTCAAGCGTGGTCGTCAACATTACCTCGTTTTCGCGTTTTTAAACTCTATTCGTTAATTTTTCTGTCGTGTTTCGGAAACTTAAATATAAATCAGATAATTTAATGATCACTCTATCTTCCTAGGAGTTTTAATTTAATTGCAGTAATAAAAAATTAGTTTAGTAATAGCTGTGATAGACTAGGCTAAAATTCTTTACCGGTACTTTTAAAAAACAGATTGTTGTATGCAATGATTCATAATGATGGTTAGAAACACATACTCCATTTTACAAGCGCCAACTGGCAAAATGACTCTTGAAATAGCCCCGAAAATTTTGCAATGGTAAAGCACAGGGAGATTTTTTGGGGGCCAAAGGTCAAGAAAAGGTCCATATTCTGTACGTTTTAAACCTTGTCCAAGGTTTTGTCTACTCTCCTGATTTCATAATCAGTTCTTATTAATTTGGTTTGTCAACCCTTTTATCGCCGTTTTGCTGATTATGAAGTCAAAATAAACTTATCTTATCTTGTACCCAATGTGATTGACTATACTGTAGTCGTAGTTGACCAGTGCTCTTCTTGACGAGTTTGATCGTCATGCAGTCACAAAAATATTGTCTTGAAGGAAAAACCATATCCTACGCTTATACTATACATCTGAAGTGAACTATTTTTTGCTGCGCTGTATCTCCTGCATTTCACAGAAGATACCATTTTACAATTCGCTGTAATGAAAGTTGGACTTGATTGATCCTCTATATCAGAACACCTATCATGATTGGAAAAGCAATGATCAGTTGGATGGAGTTCATTGATGCTTTGCTACTTGCAGCAGTAGATGCTGAATAATGATTCAAAGTTGAATAATTCTGAATGTCCTCCGCGTATTCTGGTTTACAGTGTTCATCTTTGATTTATTTTATAAAAGTGTAATGTTGAATAAAAAAAAACTATCTTTCCAAAATCTGTTGCGCATTGAATATTCATTCAACTCATTGGGAATTGAAAGAGAATTCAAAAACATTTAACAACGGGCATTTTAGTTTATTATCAAAGCATAACAGTATCAATATATTTATAAAATCAGAACCATAAACTTTGGTCCCGAAAAGCATATGCTGTATTATTTTACATGATCCAATCTTAAGCTCGAATTTGAGAAGATTGCATTTTTTTTTGTACCATGAACATTGTTTCTCGAAACTTTATTATTTGCTAATTTATATTGACTTAAATAAACGTTGCTTTTAGTCTTGCACCATTTACATATAATGTTGTTGTGTATTCCACAACTTGAATTATCCACTTTCACTTAATTTATCCTCCAATTACTGAAAGACATGTAGAATTCGGCTAATACCACATTTGCCTATGACTTGATCTTCGTACTGTCTGTCTCTACTCTTCTGTCTCTTTAAGTTGTTAGCTACTTTGAAAACCCTCTCAAGTAAATAATGATAAATTAAACTATCACTGGAATTCTGATCTGCTATTCGTTTAACTTTTGAGCATTATAACCTGCTTAGTTAGACAAATAGATCTGTGCAACAAATTTTCTCAACAAATTATCGGATATATATTTTTTTTTTTTCATTAAAATTAGAAAAAGAAGTACGAAGCACATTGCAAGATAGCATTTCGTGCTGAACAATAAAAAATATGTCACCCACTCAATTGTGGTGAAATAAACATTTTACACTATTCTATCGCTGTAAAATCGCTGCTGTGAACATTCATGGATACAACAATTTACAAGTAGAATTAGTAACAATTTATACATTCGGTTTTATTGCACAAACTTGAATGCATAAAACCATTTTATAAGTATGCTTTTTAATAATATCATTATTAGTTGAACAAACGCGAAATTAGAAACAGTTCAAGTGGAGGATGTTTGTAAAACAGTTAATGACATTCAAATGAACCTTCATAAAAGATTTATTCAGCTTGAAATTTGTTTGAGACAATCATATATAAAATCACATATAAAATATAAGAGCGTGATGAAGATGAATCACTATATGTTTATTCCATTGGATAGGATATACACATTTTTCCCCGGGAGAGGAAAGCCGATAAGACGGCTTATCCATATGACGAACCACGGCCTCTCGTCCGGTTACCATTCCAAGTCGGGTATGGGATTAGTTATATTGTTTGTTTTCGGGAGCATGGACTTGGTGGTGGAGGGAGCCGTAACCGACCAGCGGTTACGCGAACCACCCAACGACGGCGAGGAGTCCAGCAATCCTCTCGCACATAACCATCTCCACATCGGATTCGAACCTGCGAACCCACGCAGAGTAATTAGAGGTGCGGTGGCGAGCGTATTCCTAACGCTTAACCCGTTGAGCCACACCGCCGTGCCATTCCCTAACTTTAAAATACGAAGATAACTTTCGAAGTAAGATTTGTTGAATCGCATATGTTATATCTTATGACTTATGGGATTAGCCAGGTATTTGTTTCAGATACATGGATTTGTTGGTAGAGGAAGCTGTAACCGACCAGTGGTTACGTATACCATCCCACGGCGGCGGCAGCAATCCTCTCACACATAATTATCCTCCACGGAATCAAACGTTAGAACCCATGAAAGTAATTTAATTTGAATGAGTTGCAATATCAGTTTTAAAATAAATAATGATTGAGCGTATAAAACTGGTACGTAATTATGGGCAAAATATCCTAGGATGTAGCAATTAGGACATTTAATCATCCAAACAGTGGCCATCTGATTTGATTCTCAACAAACCAGACATAAAATCTTCCTGGTTTTTAATTGTTCAGTATCCATTTTATGATTCGTCACGAACAGCTGATTAATTATCTTGTGTTACGCAACAATTTCTTTTAAATTTAAATACCCAACGGATGCATAATTTTCTTTGTTGCGTCACAAATAAATTACAAAATAATATCCACTTGGGGCGCTCCTGCTCTTCAAACAGACGTTGCTGGTTGCGCCTTTTAGTCTTTGTGTTTGAATTCTGGACTTTGTTTATTTTTTGCTCTACGATAAGTTGTAATTGGGACTATACGCTGTTGTATTTTATCGCCCTTCATGTGTTCGGCAGTGCTACAATACAATTTTTATATGGGTAATGTATATTTATTTTCTCCTATCGGAAATCAGACCATGCAATAATATTCTGAAACTTCCACAGCGATCAATTATTTTAACTGAAATTGGAATTAACAGGCAAAAATAATAATCGACAGGAATGAATTTCACAATTTAGCTTTGTTAATAGTCTGGAAAACATTATAGACTAACCTACAATCTTATGTCAGTATTTTATTTATTTTACGGCATACCCAGATATTGCTCCTCGTTTTACCTATTTTACAGTCTTAATGCTGTAATGTCACCGTCAGACGGTGTTTTTTTCATATATCAGCATATCAACACAGTCAGACAGTCATGGAATCTTCAGATCTTATGTGTCTGTGTGTGCCGTACTGTAATAAATTATATGTTCGCTCTTTGTATACATACTGAAAATACAGAAATATGTCCTTACATGCAGACAAATTCTGCAGTCATTCTTCTGTTCTCCAACACAGCGCAATATTTTTTAATGTCGTAGTCAGATAGTAGGGTAGGTAGATAATTTGCATCCGGGTACAGAGGTAGCAAATTTTAAGAGTTGTTCTTTTCATATGCCCTATGCAGCTATGCCTGTATGCAGATATGGCTGAATGGTATAGACTGGGATGGTCAGCTAATTTGCACTTTGAATCTGTGAATGTTTTACAAATAAAAGTATTACAGTATTATAATACTTCATTCGAAAAAATACCCTTTTATCAATTATTACTATGGTTGTTGGACAATTACAGAATTATCAATCATCTCTTTTATGTAGTATATATGATATCATTTTTGAACAGTTAAGCACTTTTAAATTTCATAAGTATTTCAATTGCCTTCACAGATTATAAATTATTCGTAGATCAAAATGACTAAAAAGATAGTTACTGCACATGATATTTTTATGTTTGTACCCAATCTGATTGGCTATGGGAGAATCGTGCTTGCTATAGTAGCATTCTACTTTATCAAAACAAATTATATTATTGCTGCCGCGTGTTATATTCTCAGTGGATTCCTAGATGCATTTGATGGTCATGCAGCTCGTCTTCTTAATCAAGGAACAAAGTTTGGTGCAATGTTGGATCAGTTGACAGACCGTGCGGCCACAGCTTGTTTATGTGTGGCACTTGCTACATTTTACCCTCAATATATGTTCTGGTTTCAAATGAGCTTAGCACTTGATATTGTAAGCCATTGGATGCACTTGCATGTTTCTCAGCTTGGAGGAACAAGTCACAAAAGCATTGGTTTAGAGGGGAACCCGATCATGCGGCTGTACTACACATCCCGGCCTGTATTGTTTGTAATGTGCAGTGGAAATGAATTATTCTTTGCCATGCTGTATCTCTTGCATTTCACTGAAGGCCCGTTGATAGAATTCGCTGGATTGAATCTCGGTCTTGTCCGATTGGTTCTTTACCTCAGTACACCTATTATGATCGGAAAAGCAGTGATCAGTTTGATACATTTGGTTGATGCTTCGCGACGACTTGCAGAAGTGGATGCTGAAGAACGATCCAAAGCTGAATAGTTCGAAATAAATTTGCTTAGTCTGGTTTACTGTGTTGAAATCTTCAATGTATAAGAGTGCAATATTGATTGAAAAATTTGCGTTCAGGCAATTTGAAATTGGTTAATTCGGAGATGGACTGACATGATGTGTTGGAGCTAAAAAGCAATTTTAGTAAAAAATTTCTGTCAATCGAATCTGTATTTTTAAGTATGATTTTATTATAGTCGCTATATTGCCTCTGAAATTTGTTATATCATTGCACAATGGATAATGGATCCCTGTTTTTTATTCTGCTATTTATTTAGATGATTGGTGGTTATAAACTGATTCATTATACAGCAAAATGATTCATAATAATTAAAAATAATTTGTAAATTTAACTTATTAAATTAACATTTCAACTGATTTAAATTAACACTATAATTGGTTTATATATATATTGAGATCTTCAGATATAAAAGTAGGCACTGTGCGAATAACTGATTGAAACAAGAACATGTTTTAGTTTTTTTCAAACTAGAATGAATATTTCTGGTATAATATTTTGTTTGAATTTGAACATTATAGAATCTTCCATAATATTTTGTAATTTAAATCTAAAAAACTTCCATTTACCTGAGCAAAATATTTTGCATAAAGTTTTAATATTTGCACCTTCGTGGTAGGTATTGTTATAATATACATCTGCTTTGTATTCTTCGTGCAGGAAGTCTTCGTTTATTCTACTCCTGCACATTACTATTCAACTATGCTATCATAATAAATACTGACACGATAGCGGGCTGTAAAGTTGTATTATACGTGTATCTGTTTGTGTTTATTTTTTTATGTTGTTTCTTAATCATGTAAAAAATAGGACAAAATAAATAATTTTATATGGTATTTGAAATACAAATTACGTGCATAGATTGCAAAAACTGAAAAATTTGAATGTTTTGGAGTTTTTGAATATTTTTGATAAAAGTGCATAATTTATGCGTATTCAAATATTTGATTTCATTTGGACATCTCCAGGTACTTTTATTTAGAAGATATATATATTTTAAGATTCAAATATTTTTCCTCAAATTTTTTGACATATGGCGAAATAACTTATTTTAGAAAATGTGATAGATTTCAGTTCCAGAAGCCTTGTTTCGAACAAACACTGAAATATTCTAGTCTACCTTTTTGTAACCTTTGTTTCAACATACTGTAATTTCTTCATTTTTGCTATATTTATTATTATTCTTTATGTTCGAGCAGTTGTTTAACTTTTGTAGGTCAGATTGGTCCTATTCCTATTATGTAGATGGGAGGGCACTAGGGCAGACAGCTCTTTTTAGGTAAAAAATTCAAAACTTGAAAAAGAAAATTGTAATTTTTTCCATAATTATGTTTAATTTGTTTTACTTTATGTATGCAAATATCAAGCTAATGTAATCTGCTGTCTACCATGTCTCCCACAAATTGTTGGAATTTACGAGTGACTGCTGAGGTAAATCAAGGAGGAAGGAGATACATGGAAGATGTGACGGCAGTGCAATTCGAACGTGCAAAACAAAACAAAAAAGTTGTGGAATATGCCGCATTTGCTATATTTGATGGACATGGCGGCAAAGAAGCCGCACATTTTGCCAGAGACAATATTTTAGACAATATTAAATGTCAAAAAGGATTTTTTTCTAAAGATGTTGAACAAGTTAAGAGGTCAATAAAAGACGGATTTATCGCAACACATCACCAAATGTGGCAACATTTACCCACATGGCCAAAGACGTATAACGGACATCCCAGTACAGCAGGTCTGTAACATACCCCATAAATAGGAATCAATATCATGTTTGAATATTTCAATCATTACCTTAGTTATTCATTATAGCAAATGTCTTATCAATAACGTATGACTTAGCTGCATGCCAATGGGAAATTTATTTATAAATATTCAACAATAGAATGCGTGATTTAAAATTAGTATTACCGAACATATATGCTATTGATGCAACATGCTTTAAAAGTCAACTAATCAATAGTATTGATGTTTGATATGTTTAGTTACATAATTGTTATCTATGCAGGATGGCCAAAACAGAACCAAGTCTTTTGGAGCTTTCTAGAGAGACATAACTTTTGTGTCAAACGTCATGAATTACTGAAACCTCTGGGTAGCCTACAATCCTATACACACAAGAGAATGTTAAATAAATTGTCTTCGTGGTCTTAGAAGTTATCAAAAAATTTATGGGTTACATTTCTGGGGCCCTCCTGTGGTAGTGGTATTGCTTGTTGTCTCTGAGAACAGATGACCAAATATTTACCACTACTCACTGGAATATGTACAGCATCGAAATATCCTTATTTCACCAATCTGAGAATTATAAATTATGAATAAGGATGTTTAACCCTTTCCGTGCGGTGGGCATGTATACGTACCAACGACAAAAGTCGCTAGATTGCGGCGGGTACGTTGATGTACTCCACTGTTTTATTTAGCAATCGGTCGCAAACTGTTGGTCTAGATTTTTCGGGTTTTAGTTTATTGATAAGAAGTCTTCATCGAGATTAACATAAGCGACGGTAAATCTCGCTTTCGTTTACGACGGGAATTTTATTTGAGGCGGAACGAGGGAGTGTTTTCGAAATTTATGCAAATTTCGGTGTTTTTTGGGTGGTAATAGAAGACATATTATCCCTTCCATCTACCAAAGTATTTTGAGTTAGATCACGAAATTGCTACAGCAATATTATGCTATTGTTTGCCATCCACGAAGCGGTAACAGTAAAAGATTTAGCGAATATTTCTATTTTTTATCAAGGTTTGAAGTTTCAACTCCCAAGAAAAAAAATGCCTTTTTTCTATCCGGTTTGTGACTCAGAGCACCACTTTTAAAAAAATCGCCAATCGCCAATTGCAAGCTTTTTAAATAAGCTTTCCAACAAGCCGTCAGTGGGCCGCAGAGGATCATTAGTTTTTTGTTAGTCGATCGATTAGTTGTGGGGGTACAAATGCATAAAATCGGCGCAGCAAATACGATTATTTAATAAAAAATAAAAATCGCATGGAAAGGGTTAAATAATCTGATATGCTAGTAATATCCAATTAATTTCGGATGTCCATAGACCGTAACTATGTGTGAATTTTTATGGTTCAAGTCATCTAAAATGACTAAATTTTACATAGAAACTAGCTATTTTTATATTCTGTTGTTTTCTTTTAATGATGGTGCATCTAGAATTAAATAAAAAATACAATTAAGAAAAAATATATGTATTGTTCACATCTTGCAAGCCAGAAACAATTACTAAGTTAACTAAATCATTTTATACCAGCTGCCAATGTGGTATAGCTTATTTTATATTGTGAGAAATTCTTCATCATATTAAAATATTGTGATCCCTGCTTTTTTTGTTTTTAGGTACAACTGTTAGTCTGGTCCTTATCCGAGGAAACAAGATGTACGTTGCTAATGTTGGTGATTCAATGGTAGTCATGGGAACAAGAGAATATCGCTTCAAAAATAATGCCAGGGCTTTTCAGGTAAATTATTATTTTACACAAAAACTTGCCGTTATGTTGACTTTTATACTATTAGCTTATATAGTTTTAGCCAAACTTACGTCTACTAATAAAATATACAGAAGTGATTCTAGTTAATATTGTTTATAGGGTGGTCATCAACAGATTATCTTTGTACATATTTCAAGATTTCTCGCTTCTGTTTATAATATACCAAAGAATTTGTTTATTTAGCACTTCAAAAATATTAATATTTTGATGGGTCATTCAAAGCTAACCTATACTAGTGTTGCATCACAATGTCGATGCTTATTGTCATCGGTATTAGAACCTTTGTTGACTGTGTGCCTACCTCTGTATACCATTACAGCTGTGTGGTGTAATTTAGTCAATATTATTTTGTATATTGTGTAAAGAGAAAAGATGTCAATATACGATACTCCCATTTCACAAACCATTGCTCAAATTTAATAAGCAATTAGGCTGAGTCTGTATAGCAATTGCTTTATGTTTTGTTTAGTTTCTATTCTTAATTTACCATTTTTACAAAACAATTTTATCAGAATGTTATATTTTTTTTATCTCGATGGTATTAGTATATTCTTGAATTGAGTGTTCATTTAGTTCAATATTTTCATTATTTCGTGGAATTTGGAATTTGCCACCTTCATTATTAAATCCAGTAGCTATGTACACTAAAACTTCATTTACTTATTAGGGATAGGTCACACTTCACTTGCACTCAATCAGAGTCATATCTGAGCAAATTTATGAGCAACCACTGAAACGCCAAGACCCACGAAAACGATCATGGTGCCAATACGCTCACACTTACCAATACTATACTGATTGGCAGAAGTATTGAAGCAGTTCAGGTCCATAACAATCAGTAAAAATGCTCTAAATGGTTCTGTTTTCCCAAATACTTATCACAGTTCATTTTGATTTAAAATTTTCGAATATTGTCCATAAGTCTTACACCCATGCAGATAGAGCAAAACCGTATTACGGACTTACAGTATTTCCGGAAATATGCCAATAGCTATGTGAATGAGTGTGAAAAAATAGGAAGATACTAATCTTTTGATAATAGTTACCTCCTTATTAAGTTATCAGTGGCGTTTTAATTGAAAGATCTTTATTTGGAAGGTGGGGAAAGAAAACACCTCATAAATATGTTGCTGCTATGTGCTGGTGATATCATTATATCATTCTATATCTATTCCAGGCTATGGAGCTGACTGTTGATCATAAACCTGAATTACCAGAAGAAAAAAAAAGAATTGAACACTGTGGAGGATGTGTTATGAATAAAGCTGGAGTAAATAGAGTCGTATGGAACAGACCTAAAATAACACACAGTGGTCCAATTAGAAGGTAAAACATTTACGATAAATATTATGGCGCAATGAGCCGAAATAAAAATAATGAACTTTTATAATCTCATACATTATTTTTCAGTACTTTGTGTTGTTAATTACATGGAAAATCCCTGATATATACCAACTTTCACAATGCAAACAATCGTATCAGATGCATTTCAGTGAAATATCAGTATTCTGTGTTGTTAATTACGGTTGCTGAACCGTAGTATATACCAACTCTCACAATGCGAACATAGTATAATTTGTATTGAAAAATGACAAATTTTCCCCAATACTAAAATGATTGTCTTTTCCTAGAAATATATTTTATCAAAATTTTATTTTTTAATATATTTCCAATTTCAGCTTGTAATACTCGTCAAGTAATTTTCAATAAGCTCAATGATCCCCCTTGTTATGTATTGTTATTTCTTGTTTAGAAGCACAAAACTTGACAGAATACCATTTCTTGCAATTGCACGTTCACTCGGTGATTTATGGAGCTTCAATTCAGAATTAAATGAATTTATAGTATCGCCAGTACCTGATGTGCATTGCTATGACTTAGTTGATGGAAGAGAACAATTTATTGTACTTGCAAGTGACGGACTTTGGAATATGGTAAATTTTGTATGAAGTTTACATCGATTCTGATGTGTTTCGGTAGAATATTAAAAAAAGGCAGTTTTTTATCTGATGTGAATGAAGGAATTCTTTATTGTTTGCCCAAGGTATAATTGTGCAAGCACACATATTTTTATGAAAATGACAGTTTGTAATTCGCAGTTGACACAGCTTGCTCTAAACTCGGCTCTGGACGAGTTGTATCTCAAACGTGACAAGTTCGGTCGAGCTATTATCTTCCTGGTTCAGTATAGGTCATTAAATTTGTTGAACATGTATAATGCGCCGTTAAAAATCAGCAATTTTACATTTAAAATGGCTGTCAAACGATGTCAATAGTTCTTTCAGTTCGAATCTGGTATATTGAAATGGTTTCTCATTCAGAAATGTCCCAGTTTTGGTTTCAAATATGGCCCTAATAACTCAGTTAGATTATGTTTATCCTGCTATTCCAATAGAGTGAATGCAATTGAGATGACATGAAAACAAACGAAGGCAGCAGAAAAGGCCTATAAGAAAACCGGAAAGAAGTGACTGGAGGCATCTAGCGTCCATCAACAACCTAAAAAATAAGATTACATTTAATAGTTCATCATATATTGAGTTTTTTTGAATAACTAGGTTCGTCCTTATGAATCTGTCACGAGTGCTGGGACATTTGATCAAAGAAAGCAACAAAAATTAGTAACTGGTACTCCTGCACATGAATTAGTACAACTAGCATTGGATAGATGGAAAATGCGGGCGATGAGAGCAGATAACACAAGCGTTATTGTTGTTTATATTGAAAGAAAGAAAATGGAATCGACTGCTAAGAAAAGGTTTCAGAGAAAATATATTTTTTTAATGAAAATTATTGTGCAAATTAGGTACATTGCGAAATTGGTTTCTGATTCCTCCATTTTAGGTACAGCCCAAGGCTGTGAAAAAATTTACACCAAACTCCATGCTATATAAAAATGACTCAGACTTTCGACTCAGGTTGATGAAACTTGAGTCAGACTCGAACCAAATTTTGATGATGGAATTTTTTTTCGTATGGACACATTCTTTAATAGTCTTCTGAGAATGCTTTTTGACTTTCTGTGTGAAATTTTAACTTCCAAATTCTGAAATTCCAACAACGACTTCGAAGAATTAAAATTTCCATACTCCCCACCCCACGTCCTAACAACACGACTAATAAGAAAATCTTTTTAAATCAATACTCATATCTGAAAGAGACATTTATTTTTAAATAATGGTTTTATGTATTCCTATTATCCTCAGAGGTTTGTCTATGTATGGTTGAGTATGAACTATCATTGTTGTATGATCTGATGGGTTGCCCATGCTTGGTTGCCCATTGATTACTGATTTCAATAATATTTCAGTTATGTTTATTATTTTTGTCAGATTGAAGTCATTGAAATAAGGATGGTGAAACTATAATTCACTATTCCTAATATTTTTGAATGTGAATATTTAATTCTAAATTTGGTGATACATTGAAAATTTAATTGTTCAGAATGATAAATTGAAATGATTCGAATATTCGATTCATTCAGAGCGGGGGTCGGTCCAGCTCGCGATGCTTCGAGTAATATAATTCGACCCACAACGCTTCACTGAATTATAGTAACAAAACGGCTGTTTTGACAATTACCGGTATATTCTTTATGTAACAGAATTTATTGTGATGTGAGACATGTGTAGACTAAATTATATTATAACCTAACAAGTATATAATACACTATTACTCGTTTAATAAGACTATAATTTAATAATAATTAGACAAATGTCAACAAAACGCAGAAAAGTTGATGCCAAGTGCAAAGGGTTCAATGGCGCCGAAACTATTCAAATGGAATTTTTTGAGTTGCAATGCAATGAGGAAATAAATCTATATTCTATTCGAGACATGTATCACAGCTTTATTTTTATTAAAAAAGTTTTCAACTTTCAACTTTCTTAAAATATGTGTAGCCCGCCAATGACCAATGACGAGGAACAAAAAATTGCTGACCACTGATTTAGAGCATCTAGAATTCTAGAGCATCGTTGCATTGAATACATCAAAAGGCACTGGCTCATACTTTAACACCCTACTCTGATTTTCTGTTGTACATCTGTCTATTGAAAACTAACACTCATATACACTTTTTGAAAGGGATACTTATTCTGAAAGTTGGACAAGTGCAAGACTAGAAGGCTCCAAAACTCCAGATGACAACATGCCCTATCGAAATGCTGACAAGGAAACTGAGGTTGTTAACTCAGATCCACCTACACCAAGACTTGAAGATGAGACCAGAACTGGTTTGGTACCTGTTCCCCTTGGTGGTAAGTAGGCTTGTTCAATATTTATTCATCATATCTTCTTAGTTGTGAGTGAATCATTATTTTTATTTTCATAGCATTGTCCAAGCATTTTGAATAATGTAACAACAAACCTATAATTATGAATAAAATATTTTTCAAATAATTGAGATGAGGAAATTTCCCCTATCAGTCATAAAGTCAATCTACTTTGCAGCTAAATCAAGAATCTTTTTGGGTAAAATGTTGACATCCGAAGGGTTGATATATTTCAAATTATAGAAAATGTTACATATTATCTATTACATTATCACCTTATTACTTGGATATGAAAGTACCTATAAAAAATAGTAAATTTGACTGAAGAAAATTTTCTGAATCCTTGTGTATGGTTGATTTCATGCATTTCAATTCAATTTCCCCTCTTTTCAGCTCCCATTCCACCTCAAGTTGAAGCTGAATCATCTGATTTAAGTTCCAAAGGTATTGGCTAAAGTTTCAAAGACTTATATTTTTTAAAGGCATTGTCAACAATAGTAGAAAAAATGATTTTTTGAATGTTGTTTTGTTGCTAAGTTGGCAGAGCTGTGAGGTTGTAGGTCCACTGATATTAGAATTGGAGCAGACATCACATGGTGATAGATTAAAATTAAAATTTTCGATAAACTCAAGAAGCATCAAGACTAAAAAAATTTAGCAGACAATTAAAGAAGGTTTCCATATTCTAAAGTTTTGTTGTCAAAATATTTTTTTTTGAGTTTGTTGCTGTGGAAACACTGTTGGAATTTTTGTCAAGGAGTCTTGAGTTGTTTTTTGAATGACTCAGGATATTGTGTTATGTGATCAAAAACTCCACGAAATTGTAATTGGACCATTCAGTTACTTGGCGCATCTCGTTTTGTGCTGAAATCTTTATACACAAATCGTTTTCCAAATGCATTTCTTGTGTTTAGATGTGGAGCCGCTTCAGGACAGCAGCATATCTTCATCAAGTGGTGATATTGATGAGAATCGCATTTGCAAACCAATTCCAAAATTAGTTCGATCTAACAGGAGGGACAGGCTTGACGACATGATGTCAGAATCGACCAGTGAAGGTATGTACTCTGTAGTTCTGTACTCTTGCTCTGTGGGTTGGAATCTCCTTAAAATAAAAAGAATGAATACTAGTAGTAATGGAATTTCGAAGAAAAATAAATGGTGTATTTAGAATCCATATAATTGCTGCATCAGTAAGAATACCTTGTTTTTCGATGCATTTTTGTCTTTCTGATATTTTGTATGTTGATGGTTACACAGTAGTATTGAATGACATAAAAATGAATAAATTAGAATCAGAGAAGAATTTTTTTAATTTCCCACTCAATAATGGAAACTCACCCCCAGAATTTCCCACTCAATAAAGGAAACTCACCTCAGAATAATTTGACTTAAAACCACTTAAATGCCTTGGTCTACTGAAACAATACAGAATCGCTGTACCCGTATTACATACTACATGAATTTTACGGTAAATGATTGAACTGGATTATCTTGCTCACCCTACATGATTCTTGTATGCCACTGTGTCTAGCAGTATTATTTTTTATTAATAATAATATGGCTAAATTTGTGATATGGTTTAATATTGCCCTTTTCACATAACATCAGCACAGCAAAGCTTAATTAAGTCCTATAAATCATATTCGAAGGTTAATTTTTAATGAGTTTTTGGTTCAGTTAGTTTGGTATCATTGGTACCTATACCAATTTTTGCACAGGGGATGATATTGATAAACCAAGCAGTAGTAATATTGCCGAAAATCAATCTGGAAACGACGATGATACTTCAGGTCTGTGCCATAAACGAGACAGTAGGTTTTGTGTCGTGGATTGTATTGTATGTTATCGAATCCTAAATGTTATATTTTTGTGTATGTTTTCACAAATTATGATTTTTACAAGATTGATATTGCAGCATGCTATTTCTTTGCCAGTTTTGGTGGGATTTATGTTTGATTTTCTAAAATCCTCTCATTAATATGTGTAATGCCCGAATTTTATTATTTTAGAATCCAAACCAGTACGCAGAGTTACAAGGAGATTATCTAAAGATATTGAAAAATCGATGAAGCGGTCCACAAGGTACTTCTAAACTTAATTTTGAATAAACCTTTTTATAGTGCGTTTTTTCATGTTTTTTACCAAAAAGGGCTCTGTATATTTATATATCACAGGTTACTGCATCTGGAAAAATAATTGGTTAATTATTCCCATACCTGAAATTGACTGGTAACTACACGAGGCACCGTGGTTCATCATGCGATTACCCATCTTAACGACTTTCCTCTTTCATAAGATAATATCCAGTCCCATAGGTTAGGAACTCAGATGAAGTTTCTTCGATTTCAATTCTCAGCGTATTTTGTAACGAGAAAAAAATTCTAAACGTTTTGGTCTCATGTAGATCATCACATGGCAAGAACAACGATGACAAGGAGGGAGAAAAGAAAGCTGTCAAGCGTAGAAAATCAGAAGAATTTACAACAACGGCATCCAAGTGTCGCAAGATTGGTTCACCATCGGAGAGGGCAGGACGAACTGAAACTCGTAGATCGACACCTGCACTTGCAAAAACAGCCGCAACTATCAAAAGAAAAACAGAAAAATTGGGAAAATCTGCACAAACGTCACTTCAAAAGAGACCAAACTCTGCTGAAAGACTCGCAGTCAAATCACAAACAGCTAAACCTGCTCCAAAACTAAACCCTGTTGCAAGACGTAAAAGTGAACCTGTCCTGGCGCGAAGAAGTACTCGTGTTCCTAAAACTCCAGCAAAAATTTCGAAATAAGCCGACCAGTTTTATCAATATCTGCCAACCAAGCTAGATGAAGTCTAAAATGTACCAGTACCTTTTTTGCTTTTTCTCATTACGAGGATGCTTCTCGAAAGTGTATAGAAATTATTTTTACTGCCAAAAGAATTGCAGCAATGGGAAGCCGTTCTCGCTTTTAGTAGTTATTTTAATATCGATTTTAGCTGTATTTTAAAATTTTAATTGACTGAATTTTCTTTCTATAAATATTAGAGTAAAGAAAGTTTGAAAGCCTCATAGCTTTGTGTACTAGCTTTGATGACAAGACCCTGAAGAAAAACTGCACTTCATCAAGTTATAGACCAAACTAAACCATTTGATGACCAATTTTTATTGCTTGGTTATCCAATTTTGTTTTACTGGAGGTCTGGAGCTATTATTTGTCATTTCGTTAATAAAAATCATTATCAGTATTCTTTTTGAAATGGATTGTTGCCACTCAAATTGTTGTTCTGTGTAATCAGTTTGTCTTTTGTCGATGAAAGCTTTTCATTTGTTTCTATGTTAATTTTAACTAAATTTGTAAAGCTTATTATTTACTGTGTTAGGATCCTAATATAAGAATGAGCTTTTCATGCAAGAAAACAGGCTGTTTTTTTTTAATCCTGACGTTTATGGAAATATCAGCATGACAATATAAATATTATTTCATCATTTAATTGAAGACTTTATTCATCAAGCATGCATGGAAAACTATTTATTTTTAGGAAACATATTCTATCATTGACTTCTAAATCGGATATACATACTTTGTGTATTTCATTAAGTTAGGAAACTACTTTTGGCTAAATTTGGGTGTCTGGGAACATTCTTTCTTATTGCCGTTATTATAGCAACGATTACATATAATGATAGATTTCGAGTGATTTTCTACAAAACAGATCAGTTCAAATATTGGAAATTAAATCTGGTACAAAAACCTCCTCATGTTGAGTGTAGGTTAAAAGCCAGTGTTTTACATAGCTTTGGTGCACAATCAGTACTTTATGTGCTGTTCTGGTTGCGTATTTAAAGGTAGCTTTTGGTTCCTTTTATTTACAAACTTACGATTAATAGAACATTTTAATCTGTTGTTTTTGTGACTACGTTTTGTGTTTTATTTAAGAAATTCTTTTTATTCTTTTCCTGTGCAGGAGTTTTCTCTGTTTAATGTCGTTTTATATGAATGAATTTCCGACTGCACTCATTTCATCTCTCCTGACTGTAATTTGCTTTTTAATATTGAAATTGTTAAAATATGTTCTTGTTGCTTCATTTTTTTTCGAAATGCTAAAAAAGTAGTGATATTGATTGACTAAATGTTCTAATGAAATTTTATCCAGAATTTTGTTACCGATGGTTTTATGTTCTCCCTCATACCTTTGTCTTTACACTATTGTAAACAGTTTACTCCACTTCATATTTCATGTGAACGTCTTTTATATTTCAATAAAACTAGGTTTAATCAATGCGAGTTGATAGAATCATCGACAGGTAAATAGCATTAAGGCATCCTACTATGCCACGCCATGCAGGTGGCGATTGGGCCTATTATAATTATAGGATCAGTTCGGATATCTGTAATTGTTACTATCCGGATTACAAATATATCTGTATATGTCGTATTATAACTATCCGGTTAAACAGATGATACATAGCATACGTGGCGTTGATTGAACATGCGCTCATTTTATACCGGAAACCCAATGGCAAAAACAGCGACAGGAAAGTATAGTCACCAAGACTGCCCCAACCTTGTACCCAACCCTTCAAGGATATTCAACTGAATTCGTTTACAGCCTTGTTTATACTTACAAGTTACAACCTATCTTTATAAAGCGAATGCGCTATTCTATTACATAATAATCACATTTAGCAGACTTGACAAGAAGTATCAAAATCACTAGTGAGCATATGTCTTATTTACTCTACAACGTCTCAAAGCTATCTGGATAACCCAACCCTAGGACAGGGTTTTCCCAATTGCCGCCAAGTTGTGTGTGCAAATTTTTTACTGCGCCGCAAGTTTGGAAAGTTTTAGAACCAATGCGCTAAAGCAGTGGTTATCAAAAAAATTCTGCTCGCGGCGCACTAAGCAAATTAAAAAAAATTGCGGCACACTTGTAGAAAAATAAAGTTAGCTTTAAACAAATTTATTCTGCAAATGTTCATGCGATGGGTGTGCCTATTTTGAGAAACAAATAGGATTGAAACGAGGTTCCGTCGCTGTCAAGCGCACCCGCATTTTGTAGTCAGTTCCATGAAGTCGCTCCTCATTTTCTTTTAATTCAGTCAAAGCAGAAAATCAGTGTTCACAGAGCCATGAAGATGCAAATGACAAGATTATTTTGATGGCTTTTGCACCGATTATTGAATAGGATTTGTAAGAAAGTAGCTATAATTCGTCCAACCTTTTTGGGGAAACAGTGCATAAAAAAACAGGTAATTTCGTAAACGAATAGCTTATTTTTGAAAATCTAAACGGCACACCTGGTAATCACTCAGTGCCGCGGGCACACAGTTTGAGAAACAATGCGCTAAGCGGCTAAGGTCTTGAAATTGTGCCGCCACGATGTGTAAATTTCATACCGGCCGCAAGCTCAGAAAGTATGCTAAAGTCTTGGAAGTGTGCCTCGAATTTTTTATGACATTCCCAAGATTATTACGCAATAATCAACATGAACATTATTCTATCTATAGCAATCAGTAATGGGTGTAGTTTGGATCACACATATAAATATTTATAAATATGTATTGTGTGATACTTGCAATTTGCCTGATGCCAATTTGTTTACCCAGTACAGCTAGGTATTTTGGCAACGTGGACCTATGGATGGTTTTTATATTTAAAAGCTAAAAACGATGAATAGTTGTTTGCAATTGACCCCCGAAATATTGTTTTAATATTATTTACTGCCGAAACGTATAATGTTTGCGGATAACGTATTTGAAAAACTTTGATTTGTAATAAAGTGTATCGCGACTTTTTCATTTCGTTATTATTGTGCCGTTGGCCGAAAAAGACTTGGAACCACTTTCTTAGGGCTTTTTAATCATCATTACATCTCATTGTTATATCATAAACGTTATCGCAGCATTATTGCCTGTAGCTGCATAAAAGGTATAATACTGTAGTTCACTTATTAGATTCAATTAATGCGAAGTGAGACGAATAATAACTTTATCTGATATTGGTGCAAGAGAAAGGACCAGAAAAGACCTATTCATCTTCGCCATACTACGCCCATATTGAATGTATTTAGTTAGAAAATTTTTGAAGGTATTACGAGAAATAAGAAACCGCACTGAGGCACACTGAATTATCGCGCCTATCGGCTATTAATGAAGTCACGGGACGTTGAGATTTCGTTACTTTTTCGTATCCCCGCGGCCCAGAGAATCCAGATACTGTACTTGTTGTCCGGTCGTAGGGTTCAAAAATACTGAAAACTTGGTATTTTTCATCCCGTGTTCCTTTGACAGTAGCCTCTGTGTTCCAAATTACCTATACAGTGAATATATATATATATATATATGTTCATTCATTACGGAGTTGATAATCTGATAAACAAAATTATGAGGTTACAGTATGAAAACACTATTTTGCACAAAAAAATGTAAAATTATGTACGCGCGCTTTTTTATGAACATTTTGCTCATGACCAGATGAAGTCTATTCTAATCGGCAGAACATTCTATTTCTATATGATTCTATGAACAGAAATCAACGTTTAGTATTATTTTAAAACTTCTAGCTTCTAAACTTAAAACAACATTTTGTATGATGGCTATGAGTACTTGTAAAATTCTGGTTTTATTCAATGCCTTGTTTTACATTGTTTCCTGTCAAAACTGTGGCCTTCCGGAACCCCGGGACAAAATCAACTGGAGGAGATTGAAGGGAATTTGGTATAGATCCATAGTGGAGAGAAATGGGGCCAATGATTGTGTTGCAATTAAAGATATAAAACCCACAAGTGATGGTTTTAGCTCTAATTTTTTTAATGTGAAATATCCTCAACATTTGGTGTTTGTGGACTGGATTCGCACTGGTTTCGAAGTGTACAGCAGACGTGCAGAATTCGAAAGTTATATCCAAGACGTGTGTCTGAATGGTGGTCAAAACCTTATCTTGCGTAACGCAACACGAAATTCGAAAATTATTGAATTCAGGAAACATGTCGTCTTAACCAACTATAAACATTACGTCATCGTGTTGGGCTGCGGTCAAGGAAAAAGACACATCGTGGCCCATACTCAGCGCAAGCGTCCAACAATCAACGATATGCGCCTTATACACAACAGAATTGCAACCATCGGGCATGGCTGGAATGGAGAGCAGTTGTATTTTACTGGTTGTGTCAGTGGAACAACCGGGGCAAGCAATGAAACCCTTTTCCCAACTAAAAACTGATCTAAATGGAAAGAATTTCAATAGGTTATAATATTTACAAGCATTTAATGGTACTTATCTGATATATATCTCATTGTTCTACCACAAAGTTGACATACTGTTTCCAATTTTAAGAAGTATGATCTTTTTGTAGATTCCCTTTTTTTACTGTAATACAAATGTAGAATAAATATTAAAAAATTTTTCAATTTCTATAAAGTGAAGAATAGACGTACCACTCTGTCAAGAAAAAAGTATCCTTGTATGATAAGCCATAACATTGCCTGGTCTTTGAATCACTTTTGTTTTACAAAAGATTGTTACACAATAATTGTGTTACATATCAATCACATTTGTTTTGCGTATTTTGTGATGGGATGGTAAAGTTCACTCTTTCACAGCCCAAAGGGCTCCCCAACATGGTCCAGGTGAACCCACAGGGATCCACAGCGCGATTACAGGCGGTCCACAGATAAAGTGCTAGGTATTGGACACGTGAGTGGACCTGTGGATCGTTTTAATATTTTGTTGTTGTTGTTCTTAGTAATTTTCGTCTTCATCATTATAAAATCGCTTTTCTCTTCGAATTTTGGACCAATTGCTTTGAAATTTTCAGTAGTTGAAGATTGATTTTTCTGCTAGAAGGCTATTACTTTTATTTCTTTCTAAATTTTCTATGAATCCTATGAGATCTAATATTTCATCCAATATTTAGCTGAATTACTTTTAATATGGGAACACGGCTCATTCTACAAACTGTTGCTACTCGAAACTCGGAAGTTTTTGAGGGTACGGTACCGGTAACGTCAAAGGTAAGGACTGCTTCGCTCTGGGCCACGTGTCCATATATTTCACCCAAAGTGGCGGTTTGTCCACTTTCGTGTATTCCCCGCGGTCCAGACAATTGAGATGCTTTGAGGAGTTAACTTGCTGTATTGTATACCGACCCTTGGGCTCAAAGTTATTGAAAATTTGATGTTCCTGATCCCATGCTCCTTCATTTGAAGAGATCGTGCGTAAACAGGACTGCTGTGAAGATCATAATTCATGTAGCTACATTGTTGCTACAGTATCCATATCTTTTCAAATTGCATATGCAGTATATATATTAATTTATTACGGAGTTGATAATCTGATAAAATAAAACGACAGCAGCAATTGCCACTGCGTAATGGGAACAATTTCCGACGTACGCTATTTTTATGATCTTTTTGCACATGAAAAGAAATAATCGGCGGAATGAATATATTGTAATAAGTAGCCTGAGGATTAATTACTTTATCAACAGCATCTGCAAAAAAGAAATTACTAATGTGAGCATATGGGCGTGAGGATATTGGGACTCAACAACAATGATGTTAAAAAGGAAGTCATTATAGCAAATGCAGGAAGTGGAACCTAAAATGCGGGACGTCCAATAGAATTTTCAAATTTCAGCAAATCATTTTCAGTTGCTTCTGCAATATCTAGCCAAAGAAGAATCAGTTTAAATTAATTTTCATATTTACTAAAATCGTAGGTTTAAATAATCTAGGAAGATGTTATAAAAGTATGTGTTTGCGAGTTTTATATAGTAAACTAAAAGACATTTATTGCAATTTTTCTGTGCATTATATTGATTTAGTCAAGACAGTTCATGATCAGTTATGCGTGATAAGAACAATTTCAGCCCAACAGTCGGTGCGTCTCTTCAAATCAATTAAAGCCTATAAAGTTAGTATGAAATCAGCATTTTGCAAAGATACCCGTTAAATTATGCTCACACGTTTTATGATATATAATACGCAAATTAAGAAATTTGGATATTTTCTTTATCAGCGGAAGTTCTTGTTATTATTACTTCTATATGATTCTAAGAATAAGAATGATTTATATATATGTTTATAGATCCTAGTTTCCAAACGTGAAATAGTGTATAATGGCTGTGAGAATTTCTACAATTCTAGTTTTATTCAACGCCTTGTTCTACATTGTTTGCTGTCAAAACTGCGGCCTCCCAGAACCTCAAAGAAAAATCAACTTCAAAAGATTGAAGGGAGTTTGGTATAGATCCGTATTGGATAGGGACGGGACCAATGATTGTGTTGCAATTAAAGATATAAAGCCAACGTGTGACGGTTTTAGCTCTAATTTTTTTAATGTGAAATATCCTCAACATTTGGTGTTTGTGGACTGGATTCGCAATGGTTTCGGAGTGTACAGTAGACGTGCAGAGTTAAAAAATTACATCAAAGAGGTTTGTCCAAATGGTGGTCAAAACCTTATCTTGCCTAAAGCAACACGGGATTCGAAAATTATTGAATTTAGGAAACATGTCTTCTTCACAGACTATAAAAACTACTTCATCGTGCTGGCTTGCGGACAGGGAAAAAGATTCACTGTGGTACATACTCCGCACGAACGCCCAACAATCAACGATATGCGCCTGATACACAACAGAATTGCAGCCATCGGGCATGGCTGGAGTGAAGAGCAGTTATATTTTACTGGTTGCGTCAGTGGAACAAATGGGACAAGCAATGGGACCTTTTTTCCAACAAAAACTGAAATAAATCAGGGGTAGTTCCAGGACAAAATAAAATTTACAAGAAACCAATGGCATTTATATGGTGAAAGTGATATATTATTCTACCACAAATTTATGATATTATTCTGAGTTCTATATAAAAACATGATTCTTTAGTATTCCTGGTTTGTCATACTGTATAAAAAATATGGAATAATTGTATGAGGTATTAATTTACAATTTCTACAAATTGACCACCCACGAGGTCTCACATTTATGGACTCCTTGTCTAATAAAGTGCTGTCCAATGCCTTTTCCAAAACTTCAGATTTATTTATAAGGCATAGCAGTATTTAACAGCACATTTCCTTGCCCCTGAGGTCTATTGAATCATACAACGAGCCTACTTTTTTGGCTTTTCGTTACGAAAGATCAAACTTATTCATGACACTTATATAGGAAGTATAGAATATTTTTCCTGATTGTTTCTTGTTTTTTGTGTGAAATCCAGCGATATAATGAAATCTATTATATCATGAAAATATATTCGGGCTATCATGATGTTGGTCAGCTAATGAAAATGACTAATATTTGGCGATAGTGCATCAATTACTGGAGCACCAACAAGTTTTTGGGAAATGATAAATTTATCGAAATCATTTTCTGAAAATCTCTGAAAAAGATGATGTATCAACAATTCCTAGTTTCCCTTTATACTGCAAATATATTAATCAAAACCAAAGAGAAAAAGGAAACATAATTACAGCAATTGATTATGCAAACTAGTAAACAAATATAGTTTCACAAATCGAGTGCATTATCACAAAAAAAAAATTTTGGTTATTCTCTTTCAGTCTCTGTTTATATTTATTTGAATTGCATGGTAAAACCGACAAAATACTCCTAATATTTGGTTACGTTTGCTCCAGCTTAAAGGATTGATATTTAACGAAACCAATTTCGCTTCCTTTGAAACAGGTAAAGAGGAGATGCTTCTAACAATGGCATTCGCAAACATGAAATTGCTCATGTGAGCATATGGGCTTGAGCATATTGTATTTCAAAATTTTAAACTCAAAAAGGAAGTTCCTCTGAGAGCATTAGGTTTGCTACTTTTTCCCTTGACGAAAAAAATGACGAAATATAGTTTAGGGTTGCATCCGAAGAGTCTTCATTAGTCAATCGTGAACACGCCCGTTCAGAAAAAGAATATGACGAGATCTTATAGGATAACTCTCGGCATATTTTTTAGGGCGAACGTAGTGAGTGTAAATATTGGTGTCATGCGAGAGACTTCAATGATAACACCTGGCAAGTATCATCAATTGCTTTTGCAATATACAGCAGGAAAGCAGCTGCTTGGATAACTTTTTTTATATTTACTAGAAACCTAAATTTTGACTATTGAGAATTACTATCTGAAATGAATAAATTCACGTGTCTTTTGGTATTCAACTTTTCGGTTTACTGCACACTATGCTATGGGTGTGGACTTCCAGAGCCCGAGAGAAAAATAAATTGGAAAAGATTGAAAGGAACTTGGTATAGATCAATGTTACAGAGGAACAACTTCAATGACTGCGTAGCAATCAAAAATATAAAGCCCACAAGTGATGGTTTTACTTCTAATTTTTACAATTTGCAATATCCTCAACGTTCGGTAATCGTGGATTATGTTCGAAATGGATTCAGAAAATACACGACAAGGTCGGATTTGAAAAGCTATGTCAAAGAAGTGTGTTCGAATGAAGGCCGAAGCCTTATAATGCCTGACGCAACACGGAATTCACATCTAGTTGAATTCAGACAATACGTCTTCTATACTGATTACAAAAACTACGTTATAACTCTTGCTTGCAATCAAGGAATAAGACGTATAGTTGGACATACTCCACATAAGCGCCCAACAGCCGAAGAAATCCGCTTGATTCACAACAGAATCGCAAAGATAGGACATGGATGGAGTGAGATGAAGTTGTACTTCACTGGCTGCGTGAAACCGTGACAAAAAGGATGCTATCTTTCCTATGAAAAAGATTTTCAAAAACGCTTACATTTCACAGTTTAATAAAAAGATGACATTATTGCTGTTTCTTGAGCATTTATACAGAAATATATGTTAAATTTTGGAACATGAAAATAATTGTCGCCAATGTGTCTTGTAAATTTAGTATGCCAATTTCACGGACCATAGAGCGCTTCCCAAATACGTTTTTTTCTCAAAATTCGATCCTGTGCCATAAGCCCGCGCACCTAATGTATTTATGGATCAGTGCTTTATTGACTACATTCCAAAACCAGCACCAGTGCCAGTTACGCCTTATAGCCTGGTGATGTATGAATAAAAAACTAATCAGAGTCATTTATTGGCAGTGCGCCTCCTAACCCGGCGAGCCTTATGGTCCGTAAAATATTGTTATTTCGTTTTATTGTTGCTGTTCTATTAGTTTCCTTGCATGCTTGATTTATTAGCTTTGGATGATTTGATCACGTACATATAATTGAGTAATAAACGGAAATATAAATGAACTTCAATTATATGTTTAAACTCATATCGTCGCTGCTTTATATCAGTAATTTTTACACATTCAAAGTATAAAGCAACAATTGGGAAGTTACTACTGAAGATATGTTAGAGGTTATTGAATAATTTATGAGTAAATTCACACCGTTAAGTTTCTGTTTTCTCTAGTCTAGAGTTACTATCCAAAGAACATGTATTAATAAATATATAATAATAATCGGTGCCGAAAAAAACTCCTCCAATTTTTTTAAATTCCCCATACATAATTTTTATCTTCTTCAAAAATGAACTCCTTAATACAATCTCTACTTAATCTCAATAAAATTTATTCCGATATTTTTTTCTCTTTCCAAAAAATAAAACCCATTGTAGAAGGACGACAAGCTTTTTACGAGAGAAAGGTTGGAGTATTGGCTCCAGGCGAGAAGGGGCGGACGACCCCTTTTTGTAACGATTGTTGAAGAGTGGTGTCCCGAGATTTCAATTTTGACCATGTCATTCATTTTTAAAATAACATAAACAATTATAAACGAAAAATTGACAATGCAACGCATTTAGGGATTTCGCTTATGTCGAGGGCACTCGATTGTCTTGCTTAATAATTAGGTAATTCCGAGTGATTCATGCAGTTGTTAATTACTCATCTAAGTTCCAGCTACGGTCATCACACCAGAACACTATTTGTACAGGGAAAACGGTCGCCTAAGTAGAGATTTCTCAAGTGAAAATATTACCCAAATCTATCTTTTGTAAATGTGGATGCGCACATTAGCACAAAGAATGTTCCTAAATGTCGTTTTATTTCAAATAATACCTTTCCTTATCAGAACATTATTGGCAAAGCGCCTGGTTTACAGACAGCCTTGATCTATGGTAGGAACCACTCCCAAATCCAAAGACTGTGGAATGTCAATTAAAGCGTGTTAGATAACGAATGCTAAATTGAATCACTGCCTTTTCATGGTAATCGACTGTAACCACCTACTTCCAAAATTTTTATTTCGCCCTATTGTGAGAATAGAAAGGTGTAACTCACTAAATATCTTTTATTTGCCACGTCAGATGCTTATCAGCTGTATACAAAGAGAAAATTGTAACTCACAAAACTTTTAGACTAAATGCAGTGATTTTATATTTGCTCTATACACATTTTTGAAAAAATTCAATTTGTAATATTTCCTAAATTTCAAGTTTTCTCCGAATCTATAGTTTGTTTTATTGTGCATGAGCGCAAAACTTCTTCTCATCTAGTATTCCGTCTTGGGACGCTTCTTCACCCATGCAGCAATTTCGGGAATTTTGCTTATGCTTTCATAGAGCTTGAACAATTTTGGTGCATTCTTAAACGCTTCTTTATTCTGTTCAAGTGCAAAATACCCGTATGCCACCAGTGTCAAGTCCGCAAGGCTGATCTAAAAATTAATATTGCGCCGTGAACAAATTGAATTTGGCTATTATTAGTTTGCAACGACTGAAAACAACTGATTCGGGACAGTTCGTCTTTTTTATTTTTGAGATAAAATTGTTCATACTTTTTCAAAGATGAGTTAAAAATGAGCTTACCAATATTTTATATCAACTAATCATCGCTTGTTTTTAAGTAAAGTATAAGGAATGGTAAAAATCATTTTTATTATTTATTTGTGTAAACATGAAAATAGACTAGAGTTGAAACAATTTTTATTCTGAGAATATTTGTGACGGGAACCATGGGTTTAAAATATTCAAAAACATTTGGCATATTTTTCTCTACAAAAAACTAGATTTGCAAAGCTTTTAACTGTAATGTAGTATATTCACTAATTTAGACGTCAAAAATAATTTTTAGAGTCTAACAAAACCAAATCGACCATCCTTTTTCTGAAACTTATAGTTTTTTGAAAAATTGAAATAAAATTTCTCAGAATTTTAAAGTAGCTTTAAAATGGTATATATACTGTAACACTCACTTTCGTTCCGAAAAATCCTGTCTTGAAAGTATCTTCTTGGTCCACTATTTTTTCAATTTTGGCAAGCATACTGGGTATCGTTTCATCTTTGTATTCTTGCAGTTTCTATTGGTAATTGTAAACAGTATTGAGTGTTATTAATCTTAAATTCTAATTAAACAGCAAAATGTGTTCCGATAACCCGGTAACGACTGTTTCATTTGACACATGCAACATTTATATAGTTCATTTTTCAAATCATTAGAACAATCGAGATATTTGAAATCATTTATTTGTGATTCGAAGAAGAAAAAAACAACACTAATTTTGTGATCAAGTTTTAATTGAAAGATTTAAACGAGTTTTCGTTGTCAGTAGACTTTATATTTGCCAAATTTTGACATAGGGCATATATACGATCAAAAGCAAAACAACATTTTATTAATCTACATTATTTTCACTTTTTTTGACACCGTTTTTCAATTGTACTCAACAACATACAGGTTTCCAAAAATACTGAACCAGGTCATCTGAAAGATATTCATTCTATCTAGAATTCTAGAGTTAACATAACTTTTATGCAATATGTCCTAAATTAAGGAAACTTCTGGGTTCAGTTAAAAAATAAATTTTCTTCATCTTCGTAGACGTAATTAAAAAAATTGATGGGTTTAGATTTTTACTTCTGTGCCATGCGGTACTGGCCTCCAATATTGCCAAAATATCCTTACCTTTTCGTCTCCTTGCGCCTTCACCCACTTGTCACCAAGGTCGTCTAAGCATCCACAGAACATGTCAACAAAGAATTGTTCCATGGTACATTCTGGAGTCAGCCCATATTCTCTGGCAAGATATCGGGCAATTGCCCCTGATTGGCCGTATCTTACACCATCAAGTTCAAGAGCCGGCATTTGTTCAAGTGGCATTGCTGCAATAAATTAAAATATTTATATATATTATTGATTGAAAACCACTAAAGTTGGCTTAGTTACAAAAAAATCAGTCGATGACAAATTGCAATTGTTATATTATAGGTGCGGATGTCAGCAAAGTATAGGCATCTCACATTCTTTGATTTCTTTAGAAGCAAAATCCTCCCATTTATATCTCTTATCTTCATATTCAACTCCTTTGTAAGCAAATATGAGTCTTATCACTTCGGCACGACCTCTGGCATCAAAATAATGAAGCTTGTAGGCAGGCATTGCTTAAAGACAGTTAAATACGATAATACGTGAGACCTACACGAAATAAAACAAAATCTATTTTAATAAATATTCATTGACTATTAAAATGACAAAACGTTATTACTTCTGAAATTAGGGTTTTGGAAGAGATTAAATTTTAAAATTTTTACAATCAAATGCGATTGCAGTAATTTAAAAAGGTAATCATGTAAACAGTTTTACAACTCGCAAGTTGCACCTTCGCGAAAGAGTGCTTACCAGCAGACATAATACCAAATTGTATGTGTTTTAAGATTTTCTGTTATAGAAAGAAAGAATATTATCAGATGATATATATTATGCAATGCCTAAACATATTCATGAGTTTCATTCAAAATTTAGTTGCTTCGTAGCAGCGCAAAGCGCGATAAAAACGCACGGCCCATCCCACCTCACGTTCTGTCTGGGTACATTCGAATGTTTCATCGACTTATATGCCGACCTGGGTGGAGTTTCCTTTTTTTAATATTGTCTACTTTAAGAAATGCACTCTTTTCATCACCTCGACCGAGACGATATTTCTTTCTCTTGAACAAAGTATTTTAGTTAAGACGCCTGACAATGTTTAAATAAATTTCTGATTAATTGTTTAGTTTAAGATTTTTGCTAACTAGTCCTACATCAACCTTCATCTTAAAATAACGCGTTTCCAGGTAGAGGATATATATTACAGTTATCACTGAGTTGCTGACATCTATACAAAAATGTAGTTATTATGAGCTATGGAAAACAAAATATAGTTGAAACGTTGCAAATGGTTACCCTGATGTAAAAAAAAAAGTTGACAAAAGAATTTTTCAATATGAATTCAATTTATCGAATGCAAAATTCGAATACGTTACTTAAAAAGTATCTATTTTTACTTTAACTGCTGTTTCTTCTTATGTATTCATAAACTAATTTGGCTGTGTACCAACTACTAATATCTTGCATGGAACAATACCAATTTATTGTATGTCCATGCAAGGAATTGAGCTTGTATACTTATTTGAATTACCTTACAGTTTTACATAACAGAGGCAATCAGACATTTCATAATTACCGACAAATCTTTTTAAATAAAAGTATATATATATATATATAGTAAGTTATATGTACATCAAAGATGCTTGTTTAAAAATTGGACCCTTATTTTTGTACCTGATATAGGGTACATGCCATGGCCGAGAGTGTGTGAATAAGCTGTATAAATTTCATTTAAACGAATAGCAAATGTTCGTTATGACTTTCAACACAATGTGTGAATGTGAACAGGAATTTATTCCGTGGGCGTAGGCTAATAGTAAGGTGAATTGGGGTTCGTGACACCCTTGTGAGATTTTATCAAAGTTTGCATTTAGCCGTGAAAATCGGGTCACGGTTGAGCTGAAATTGCGATGAGTCAGCAATACGTATTCTTACGAAATAAATCAGGGAATAATTTAAGCACGGAACGATGATGAATATGTCATTGATTCTCCATTTTAACGGCCCTCTCATTCTTTATTTTAATTTACAAGTAAACCATACGGCAAAGAATTATTGCATACTGTGTGCCAAAATTATGTTATCGAATGTCGAAGGCCTAAGTTCGTAAAAGAATATAAGTAATACTTGTTAATACACTCCACTCAGATATGGCAACATTGCACTTTCGGCATAAATATTACATAATACTGTAATAAGTATTAACTCAATATCTATATTGTTAAACTAGTACACAAGATTACTTCCACTGAGTGGTAAATACCCAAATAATTTTTTATTAAGAGAAATTTTTTTGTGCTTGTAGATCTCATAACTATTACAATATCAAAACGCAGCAACGCCCCAAAATTTCGCCTTTAAGGATAATAAAATTCTTGTGATTTTGATTTTTCCTCGTGGAAAACGTAAATATCGCTTTTATTTGCGCTGATGAGCATGGGTGAAAAAACTGATGGCGATATGTTGATGTGATAAAACTGAAAATTTTGAAACTAACATGTCTCTGAAAACATTATTGAAATTTGCTTTTTGTAAGCTTTCTTTTTATTATTTTAGTGTGCCGTATTGAATGATTTTTTGCAATTTCACAAGTGTCAATATACAATATCGATCTCCATTAGATAATAACAGAGAATAAGGACAAAGTATCGCACATATTTAGCCAGTCGACAGATGTATCCAGTATGATTATTTTACACTGAACGGAAATTCAATATAAGGTCTGATCCGCCTTGTCAATAAAATTGGGTGCTCCAGAAGTATGTGTACCAATATGTGGGTGACTAATTTCGTTCGCCTATTTTACATCAAGTTGTGTGAAGGGACTGAAATCTATGGACAAGGGGTATATTCACTTGGCTAACACAGACAGCCCCCAAACTCGTAAGAAAACTAAAAGAAGGAAAATCGGAATAAAATTATGGCCTTACCCTAACCTGGTACACATACTACGGGAGTACACAAAATTGACCCAAATAATTTTTTTTAAATATTCAAATCAATTCATCTGATATGCAATTTCAAATTTTGTTTTTCTAGTATGAGATCATAATATAGCCCGATTTGTGGCTAGTATATATCATACATATATAAAAACAATAACTATAATCTAAAAAGGCAAAAGGACTCATCAGTTTTATAGTATTCTAGAAATGTAGCCAGGTGATAATGTTAAGCGTTGACAGGCAGTAAGTGAGATATTTTCTAACATGAAAATATTAAAATCTTTCCTCATAGTTACTTATGCTATTGATAAAAATGAACACACGTGCAATACCATTTACAAACATGTTTAAGCACATATTTTCAGCTATTTATTACCATAATCAGGTCTTGACTTTATATTGAAAGTGGCAGTTATCACCCTTTCCATCATTCAATCAACAATTTCGAATTCTCCAGTTCGCTCTATTAAGACTGTTGTATCATAGTTCATCTGTGCCAAATCTGTTTCAGTCATAGTTGAGAATACATACGTAGAAAACAACATTTAGGGCCATGTCAGGAATTGCGATTGAACGAAATATATTAATTGTATGTAATACGGTATTGCATAGTGTCAGCAATCATTAAACATCACATAACTACTACGATATTTATTCTTTGATTAACTACAGTGTTTGAGATGAAAAAAAAGAAGTAACATTATAACTTTATTTTGGGTCAAAAATTAAGGTTAAGTTAAGAAACTATGATTATTTACAACGAGACAAGCTATTGCTAACGCGAAAGGGCTGTAAGCGATATTTCCATCTCACCATATTTAGGCGGAACTCTTTGCTCCAATGACCTTGACAGACTAAACAAAACAATTTAATCGTCATGGATATGAATGAATTAGGCGTAGACCTGGTAATCAATTTCAATGTGTGGTAATATTGAATAGTTTCAAAATTTACGCGTCTTAATGGAACCAGTTAAATGAAATGTGTGAATTGAAACACATTAAATGAATATATTGATGGCGAAATATATATGCTCATCTGGGGACCCAAGGCGCTATTTCATTTGTGATGTAAATGATCAACGTCAACTAAGATACGGTACATGCCAAACTAAAGCTGCCCAACCCGCGGTGTACGCCAGGCTAATTATTGTGGCCGTACTATAAATGAGTTTGCAATTTAAACGTTTTAGTATTTTATATATGCTAAACTGCTAAAATATACTTCGTAATTTAAGTGTGATTGTTCCGGCCATCCACATCCAAATGTCGGTTCTCCTTATCACACAAGTATCAAGTCTTGCGTCCTGGTGGTATCGATGTTCAGTTTTTTTTATTTCTCGCTGATCTGTGCGTTTTTTTTTCGACAAATTCGAAAGCTATTGTGTGTTTATTGGCTACGAGACGATGAGAAAAATCATAGGAATAAATTTTAAGACCCTAAATGAATTTTCTGGTGTGAAAGTGGCTCGCGACACTACAAAGTTTGTGCAGGCCTGTGTTAAAACTACGCATGGTGACTGGTTACTGTAGAACATGGACGTATTTTCAAGCATAAAGCGTAATCAATCGCAGTTAGTAGTATTTCTAGTTTTACTTTAGGTTGAGTCGGTATCAAACGCTTCATATCAAATATAAAACGTCTCGGAACGTTTTAAGTAAACTGAATATTTTATACAAAATACAGCTCTAATACCTGTAATTCATTTCAAATGTGAATGAAATTTTGTGTAAAAAATTCGACAATAAGTCATGATGAAAATTAATGAATTTTTGTTTTAGTTGAAGTTCTGTTATAAGATGACGAGTGGCTCCCAAAATTAATGAATAATGTCACAACCAAGGCTGTCCAGAAGCATAGAAAATTTCCAATCAACTGCGATTTCATAGGCTCGGACACAATATCGGCCCAATTGACATTGTATTATCACAATAAATATTATTACAATGATATAGAGAACCACGAACTGGTCCGAAGTCAATTGCAATCTTTTTTAACCTTAAAAAAAGTTTCATTCCAATGATTACCCAACGAATAGACGATATGGCTTTCAACACTATGTGGGAGTATAAACAAAAGTTGTTCAAATCCCTTTCTCCTATAACAAAAAGAAATCCTAAGTTTTTATTTCCGTGGGCGTAAGCAAATATCAGAGCCAAATATGATTCATAGTCACGTTGTGATGTTTTATTAAAGTTTGCTTTCAATCGTGAACATCGGGTCATGGTTGAGCTGAAATACCGATATGTTTTCTACAAAAAAGCTAAGTGGATTTTAAGCATGAAACAATGATAAATAAGGTATAACGGTTTCCAATGGTCGTCACGGCCCAACTGTCATCTCTATGCAACCAGCATGCCCAAAATTTTGAAAAATTACGTGTTAAAAACTTTACGCTATTTTAAGTTAGAATGCCAAATGTTATCGGCAATTTATATTTGATAATACACTGAGATTGTAACAATGCATATTTGGCTTAACATTTTTTACATAATAATAGTATTGTCGGTTCAGGAAGTACACTATACGTATGATTATTCCCATTGAAGGTCTCACTGTCTTATTTTCTCATTTTCTAGAGGAGATGAACATCACATGACAGGGAGAGTTGACACGAGTTTGCATCAAGGTTCATTTCTCCAAACTCTCTTTTGTCACGAAAATGTTCGTCAAATCTAGACATCTGTTCTTTCTTGGTTTTTATTTGCCTTCTTAACGTAAGAAAAGATGAACGTCCATGTTGGAACCTCAACCTCGTGCTTGTTTTATAGCAATATTTTAAATTACTAATCCGATTTATAAACAACTGTATGTAATTCAAAAAATTATATCCTGTACGTACATAAATGTCACATGTAATTTGCCAGCCGAAAGATGGCTTCGGTATGATTATTCATTCGCAAATGCTTATTCAACAGGATGCCTGGACATGGTACAGTACCTTGTGATTTATTCAAACTTACGATAACAATACTTGTACAAAATATTTTTTTCTTGTTTTGCAATATTTGTAGATTATTTATTTTTTTATCGGTGTAAGTTGAATAAGATCGTATCTAATTCTCTTCACGGTGAGTTTTATCCCTCGTTTGAAAGTAATATCAAATGCATCATGATTCATAGCCGACAGTGGAAAGATTTTTGTCCGGTTCTCACTCTACTTAATCAGTTTATTTCGTGAAAATAATAATAATTTCGTTCACAATAAAAAGAAAAATTCTCTGCAAAAAAGTAGTTCAATTTAAAAGACTCCAAAGAATTTTTCAAGAGCCATGAAAGTAACTTATAAGGTAATATATTGGCAAAATGCCCATACGCTTCTGTACTTCGTTTTCTCCATATCGATGCATTTCGTGCACCATTTTACGATATACCTTCACAATCAGGGCGCTCGCAAACTATTGTATCTTTGGCGTCCCCCGGGCAGCCAGAAGCAAAGCCATTATCTGACCGACAAAATCTCATTCGTGAAATTTCTCCAGATCCACAAGTAACGCTACATGAACTTGATATCCATGGTCCCCACGAAGAATGTTCTGAAAATATATATTTACATTTAAAAAAGTTTGAGTTGTGATTAATTTGCACTGGAGTGTTAAAATATATTTTGTTGACGTCTGTATAATTGATTACATCACTTCAATCACTTTGCCATCGTGCTGGCATTGCAAAAAATGATAAATATATGCAAAAGTGGGTTACAGAAAAATCCAAGATATAATTGACTACAGTCGTGATATTGGAATCTGTTATTGTTTGGGTCGCCTGATTAGGCTTCCCCACAACAATCCAGAACATGATATATTAAAAATGGGGTACTCCTGAAGTATGCGCACCAAGATGTCGCACAACCTGAACCCTAACCTGGTACACAACCTGAGTTCAGGCTGTGCGCCATCTTGGTGAGAATACTTCAGGAGGTCCAAAAATGGTCACCAAATGCAGTAGTTAGGCGATCGATTATAAACAACGAAAAATGAATGGATATCGATTGTCTTATACAAATAGACAACAGAATATTGATACGTTATTGTGCAGTTCAAAAAGTCACTTAGATTATAAAAAGTAGTAATTTCTTGCTTTGACCTAAATATTGCTCAAGGTTTTTCAAAAGCCTAGATAGTATTGACATTACCAACCATCCAAAAAAAGAATTCAACCAAATATCCTTCTCGAATGTTATTTTTAAGATTGCTACACAAATAGTGACAGTGTCTGTGCGAAATGGAAATACTTTGATACATGCGAAGGCATTAAAGAAGCAGGAAATAGCACCGCGCAAGTAGTAATGGCAGACGTGTAGATGAGTGTTTCAAGCCTTGGACGGGTTCTTTTTTTCTATAATAATTACTGGGGAAAAAGTTAGGTTCACATTCTTCTGTGTAATCTTAGTTTTAGTGTCATGGAATGAATTATCGAAACTGTATCAAGATTAACTATACCCTCACATTCGGGATTTTTACACGCTATCTTATCTGTAGAGTCACCAAGGCAACCCACAGCTAATCCTCTATCAGATCGACAAAACCTTTTCGTGAAACTTCTCCAGTTCCACAAGTGACGCTACACTTGCCAGCTATCCAGGGTCCCCACGTAAATGCCTCTGGGAAAATGTTTAATGGCGCCTTCAATGACTACTTGGGTTTTTACATTTTTTAATGTTTATGTCTAATGTTTCATTTATTTAAATTGAAATTATAACAATTGAAGTTAAAATAAAACATGCAGTTCACATTGCGATATTGTTGGATTTTGCTGAATACAAATAATCGTTTTTGTTTCACTGGCTTTTGAATTGAGTTCAATGCTTACAATTCTTCTTTTATTGGTTAGCACGGGCTTGTTCTTTATCCATTTATGCACTATCTTCAAAAATAATAGAACCCGCTATCGCTATTTCAAGGCGATTCTCGAGAGTAGATAATTTCACTTAGTTTTATCATCTTCACAAACAGGTTCTTCGCACGCGACTTTCTCTTCAGATATGCCAGGGCAGTCACCAGCCCTTTCTCCATTCAGCCTACAATGTCGAAGTCTGAATATTTCCCCATTTCCACAAGTGACGCTACATCCGAACGACAACCAATCTCCCCAGGCAGATATTTCTGTCCACGAAAGTATACATTTGTTGAAATCCAATAATTAATGATTAAAATAAGAGTTCAATGTTAAACGAAGGTCAAACAACGAAGATCAAAAACGCACATTTTCTGATGAAAATCCCGATAGTGTGACCATTTTATCTTGAAAGAAGGCAAACTCTCTATATCACTAGAGTATTTTATTAACTCATTTACGTCAAAGTGAAGACAATTTTTAATGACATGTATGACATGTTAACATGTATTTGGTACATTCCATTTCGTGCTCACTTTCGAAATTAAAATGGGAAAAATGACGTGCCAGAGTAAAAAAAGCGAATTAAATAAGCTAAATTTCGAATATCGTAGGTCTCATGGGATATTAGAAAAAATAATAATAAATAATAAAAAAAAAATGCCAGCGAGGTTTTGGATAATATGCTACAGAATGATGAACATAATTGTGTTATAGTTACCTCCACAGCTGGGCTCGTAACACTTTTCGAACATGTTTGTAATCCCTTCGCATTTTCCATTGTCCACATTCCCGAGCGGCGATTCACAATGTCGTATTTTGATAACCATTCCTTCTCCACACGATACACTACATTTCGAAGATGACCATGAACTCCATGCGTATGTAGGATCTATAAAAAGTATGTCTAAATTCATTTGCAAGTACAAGTTGAGTGATTTTGCTGAATTGGTCTCTATATATGTAGGCATATGCAAATATGGAGACGGGGTGTGGCAATTTTGAAATTCGATGCAAGCACTACTCATATATACATAGCTTAATTTACAGACTTGATATTTCTCCGCCTTTAGTCCATACGTAGCACTGTGCCGTATACGTATGTTTCAAAATTAGGTATTAATTAGTAGTAGACTATACATAACTTAGTTGAACCATGAAGTATATTGCCATTGTAAAAGTGCTAACGAAAATGGAATATACAGACTGAAGCAAATCTAAATATATGATTCTTTGATACCAGTAGTGTTAACTAAAAGTATTTCACTTATTCCAATATGTTACAAATTTTGTACTAATTACAATCAAAAGCATTCTTACCATAAAACACGATCGAAACTTCCCAATTTGAGTATCGAATTGAAGTAATTCCATTTCTCGTGGAACCTTCATACCTGGATAATCCGTCAGTTTTCCATACGGTGAATCTCCCACCCTCGTTTGCTGTAAAATAATGAGGTATATAATGAGTTAATTTTTACCAATATTAGATTCTCAATTCTTCTGAATATATAAAACAAAACACTCAACACTGTTAAAGTATACTTTATTTAAAAGAATCATATATTAACTTTATCACGTTTTATATATTCGTTTTTTAGATTTTTTTATTTGAGTTTTATCATCTGGCAACATCACAAACTCACAACAAAAGGTTAAATGTAACTCCTATTCCCACCATTAATAACTCCACTGTGGGCAGCAGCAGTGCATATGTAGGAATCATCTGTATAAATATCAGTTCCCCATAACACATGTTTCTCCCAAGTTGGAAGTGGGCATCCAGGTGGACAAATAACGTCAAACTTAGTTTCCAAGAACTCGCTCGATATTGAATTGCATGATACATTATCTTAAATACAAGAGTAATATGAATATATATAATTCAGTTGATTATAATAAATAATTCTCATAATAATTTTTCATTATTTACTATTTGAGGTACAAGTCCTATTATCACGTGATATAATGCGTTATTATTATACAACCCTTCAAAGTAAAGAGATATGTGGCAATCTAGCGACCTATAGCACTATTGCAAAACTGCATATTTTGCAAGACAAATATAACGTAGCAAGTGCTGTAAAACTGTATTAAACGGTTCTAGAAAAATTCGCCGTAGGAAATTTCGCCGCATAGGAAAAATCGCCGCAAGAGCATTTTGCTGTAAAACAAGTATTGTGAGAAAATCATTTGGGTTCTTGAAGTCCCTTTTTATTTAAAAAAGATTTGTTATTTAAGAGCTTACCCTTGTTTTTATCACAAATACTTATTTTACAGCAAAATGCTTATGCGGCGATTTTTTATGCTGCGAATTTTCCTATGCGGCGAAATTTCCTACGGCGAAATTTCCTGCCGCGAATTTGCGGTCACTGTAATAGACACCATAATATCACACATATAAATTTTTGATCGTGAAAAACAGCTTCTAACGTTTTTGATATCTGCAATATGCACGAGAAAGCTGCAAAATAATACTGCAAAAAAATCTACACTGACCTGAGCATCTTCTAGAGTTGAAACATTTTGCGTACTCGATCGGCGACTCTTTTCCGCATAATCTTGAGAAAACGACTTTTTTTCTTTTCTCCAAACATTTTCGTGTTCTATTCATATAGCCTATGCCACAATTAACGCTGCATTCGCCTTCCCATGCAGACCATAAATATTCTGAAAATTGAATGCAATGTATTATTAATGGAGCATGTAAATATAAATATCAATTTTCAACATTTGCAATGGCTTTCTACTTTTCAATGCTTTTGCTCTTTACAAATTTACGGAACTGACGACAAAATGTTCAGCAAGAGTTTCCTTTTAAACGTTCAAAGCATTAATTTTGTATTTAGAAGTAAGAAAATGTTATGATTTATGACAACATGAATTATAGAACTAATTTTAACTTGGTTGTTAGAGATCAATGAGTCTCACATCCTCCTGATATTTTCCAGTTGTTTTTAATTCGGTTTCAAAATCAAAAAAATTTTCATTCCAACTCATTCATTTTATGGAATATATGACTGATTTATTTATTGACTTTTGTGTTATTGAAAATATTTTTTGGATCCGGGTTAATATTGAGAATACCATTAGACTAAAACAATTGCATTATCGTTTTGGTTTATTATGTAAGTAATTACCCATTCCCAAGAATATAGGTTTGAGAGAATAATATTCTTACTTTCTTATTATAAAACAATGTAAATTAGTAGTATTTATATATATATATATATATACAATAATATTTAATTTCTATGTAACCATAAAGCCTGTCATGCATTCAGATATATATGTTTACCAATATATTATACTGTATGAATTAGTAAACAACAATCCATTCTAGAAACTACTTGTTCTTTATTACACCCAATAAGTTCTTCTCTGTTTGCATTCAACAGAAAAATATAAGCATTCAAAAATCATTGAAACACAGAATTTATATTCCAGTCTTACTTGGCACTCCCATCGCATCACAATTTGGTAGAAAGCACAGGTCAATGTCGAAATCAAATCCGCCACATTTATCAGAATCAATTGTGTCGTTATCTTTATCGAGACAATATCGTTGCATTATCATTTCTCCTTCCCCACAAGTGACAGTACATGTCTCATCCCACGAACTCCAATGATATCCTTTGTGAAAAGAGTTGATAATTTAATTTCTACGAGCTTTTATCAAAAACATAAAATTTTATACATACTAGTATTTTATCTGAATTTATACTCACCTAAAGAAGCTTCCTCAATTGTTTCGTTGATCCAAGTCAAAAAATTTTGCACTTTTGTATAAATACCCGGTAGCTCTTTCGCCCCACAATGTATGGGCCCAAAACTAATTATACCGTACAGAAAACTTGTACCACTTGTTTTGCATATCAAAGGACCGCCACTGTCTCCTCCACACGTGTCTGCACCGCCTTCTGTGTGTCTGTTGAAAACTTATTTCATCACAATTGCGATTAAAGTGCGTATAAGTGAAAGTTGAAAAATAGCAAGTTGTGAAATAATTACAAAAATAACTACGACACAATGCAGTCTATTAAATTATTACAATCTATAAACGATTTTTTTATCTTATCTTTTTATCTATTACTCGAGTGTCATGTTGGTCGCAATATTTGTTTTTCGCGCTTTCAGTTTAACTACTGCAAAATAAAGTGAATGCGACTTTGGTTTGACTCGTGCATTAACTAAGGTGAATTTGATTTCAACCCCCAGAAAAGTAATATTGATTAGTGACCAATATCACTACTGATGGTGCTGATTCACCACCTTCGCAGTGTTAGCCAAAATCTTCGGCGCTTTTCGTTTGTTGTCCCGACCACTAAATGGGGAATTTTCTTTGTTACCCGGAGTAGTCATATTTGGGCATAGTTAGGGTTAGGGTTGTACCCAAGGCTGGATCAACCATTATGCAATATAAGCACGTGCTTAGGGCACCAAAGAAATGGGGGCAACAGAGATTGTTTGGTATTCTTGTAGTATGTATACCAGGTTAGGGTTATGCCATACTTTTGTTTTGTATAATCGAATTTTCAATTGCGCTTCAGTGTTTAATGAATTATTTAGAGTTGGCCTGACGACTCAAGCCTCAATATTGTCTCCATTAAAATAAATTTCGCTTTTTTTTTTCAAGTAACATCTTTTCCCTCTGTAAATGTTTGTGGTCATGAGAACTACTTTCAAAAAATAGCATAATTAATCATAATTTGGCCTTCAATCAATAATGAATCCTGAAACTGCATGTTTAATTTGAGATAACATGAAACACTAGTTTCAATATTATACTGTATATTATTATTATTAGGTACTTCTCATACATAGGGCACCAAACTCTCAAGTGCCCGGGGTCTTTCAAAATGTGAAAGGCATGATCCGGCCCTGGACAGGATATACTAAACTTTTGAATTCTAGAAACCTTCATTACCGTAGCGTTCACCATACAAGTATGAATACTGATAAGTTTATAACAATAAAGTCAGCTCACAGAAAAGAATTAAGTACAGGCGGTGTGTTAGTAAGTAGCTTAATTAACACTTTTCTGTTTAGAGTGGTTGAGAGGGGTACAGCTACCATACCGATATCCCGGTATCGGTATTTCGGCAATAGGTCATTAGAAATATTGGACGTCAACAAGTAACGGTACACTACATTTAAAAATACTGGTAAAGTATTTATAAAAAAGAAATATCGGATTTAGTGGCGACTGATGCCTTTCAAGTATTGAAGTTACAGTGAAATGCAATTCAAAACAATTAATCACTGATCTTTTCAACAGTAGTGTTAAAAAGCGTAAGTGGTTTAGCGTTTAAATGGCATTTCACAGTTACTTTCTGAAGTTACGAAAAAATGGTACTTAAAAAAAATTTAATGACTGACCGTTTTTAACAGTAACACTCAGTAACACTGTTAAAAAGCGCCATTCGTTCATTGTTTAAATGGCATTTTACCGTTACAATTCGAAGTTACTATAAAATTCTCTTTGAAACTTGTAATGACTGACGCTTTTTAACAGTAATACTGTTGAAAAGATCCAGTCATTCAACGTTTGAACAGCATTTCACCGTAACTGTAAAATAGTGATAATATTCTATTTCACTGAAGATATTAGTTTGGGTTACACCGCTCTAACTCAATTTTAGTGGTTCCCAAACGGTGCCAATACCTACAATACCCCATTACCTACAATAGAAAAGACACCTACAAAAGAATCAGACATCAACATTGTCTCGGTTGAAAAAATTTAGCTTGTTTTTCTTTCTCAAGTATCATCCTAAATGTTTATAGTCATGATAACTATTTTAAAAAAATATGAAAATAATCATAATTTGGCTCCAATCAGTATAAATACTGAAACTTACTTTCAACTTCAAATAAAACGGAACACTAGTTACATTCCTATTATTATATTTCATATATAAGACACCAAAGTCTTGAGCGCATATGGCCTCTAAAGGCAGGATCCGGCACCGGTTATACCGGGTGTACTCAAGCTTCGTTTACTGCATTGCTGCAGCACGGGTATAAGATAACCAACCTATGACCAAATGTCCTAAAAATCCGCATTTGTTTGTATATAATCATTCGTTTTATGCCACTTCGTGGTCAGGGTTACAAACGAGAAGGCGCCGGATCTTTTGTTACGGGGTTTCATTATTAATATTCACTCTCTTCTCTAGATTTTTAGAATATGGTTTAATTAGTTAGAGTACCTAACGAAATATAAATATATAGTCTCTTGTTCAATATAGAAAACTGACCCGGCACAGACAGTGTTTGCTGGAATCATGGTTCCGTGTTTTTCGTGCCATTCCTGACATTGATTATTGTCTATTATTTTTACTTCGGCTTCTTGTAAATATTGATGCAAATTTCCATCTGTTTTGAAAACAAGAAAATAATAGTGCAGATACAACTAGTAAATTGTAGAGAAAAGGTTAATTAGTTTTATTGTGACGAAACACCTTTGTATTTGTTGTTGTATTTGTATGTTAAAGATACAAATATAATTTAAAATCATGAACGGGAAATTCTGTTCTATTATTTTTTCATTTCTCGTGTACATACGCTCATCATAACCCCATCCGGCAACGGTACACACTGTTCCTTCTGGTATATCAATTATTTCGTCAAATGCATATGGTACAGGTGAAGAGTATCCCATGTATTCTGGCCAAGGAATTTTGATGAGACAAATATCATTTGTTAAGTCCCTTGATTGAAAGCCTGAAATGAAGAAAACATAGCTAAAAAAAATTCGAGATTTCATCAAATACAACACCATTCAATAACAGACGAGTAATATTATTATTTACCTTTGTGACAAATTACTTTTTCAGGCTTCGTATTAACTGCCGTGGCTTCTGGTGCGTCCTTGTCTTTAGTATTGAATGATATTCTTGTTGCTAGTTTTCTAAAAATGTTATTTTCGAAATGAGTTGTATAAGTTGTCAAATAGTTTCTATTTTAAGGATAAAACAACAATAAAATATACGTAATGTCATCGAAGTTAATATTCGTGCCCAACGAAACGACAAAAGCTATGTTTAATTTTTATTTACCCGTCAAAGCAATGAGCAGCTGTTAGTATCCAGGTTTCTGATATTAGACTTCCACCGCATTGATCTGCACCATTGTCAAGCTCGATAAAAACCTGCCATGGCCACGATTCCGCAACAGCTCTGACTCCTTTTGCGACCGGAGATAAATCATTTGTACAATTTACTTCGACTTTATACGTTCCGTCACAGTGTATTTGTTCCACAGTTTGGTTTTCAACCAAGCATTGTCTTTGAGTTACTGTTACTGAATTCAAGTCAACTTTCCGGTAGGAGTCGCAGTCCGATGGTTTTAGCCATGCTCCCCATGTACCTCAATAAAAACAGACACTGAATAATGCTAATTTCGAACGTTTATGATTTGAAATGTAGACTTCTGAATACATATTCAACAATCACAAAAAATCGTGCTTATATTATAATAATTTTAGTATTAACTAGTATCTTTTATCACAGTTAAAACACGCTCCAAATCATGTTGACCAAAGCCCATAAAGATGATAACAATTTTCTAAACAGAACACATCAGAAAAAACTTTATAATTAATATTATCAAAACGATATAATGATTAGCAGCCTACACACATACCTTGGGCAAGGTCAGGTTCCGAAGCAAATGAAAGCGGCAATTTGGAAATTGATGAGAAACACAGAAAGATTAGTAAAATATTAAACATTACAATATATATATCTCAATAGTAAGCTATGAAACTGAAATATATAAAATATATTTATGAATTTGACACAAACGAGTTATGACTCATGCGTGTTCATCACTTTTAGCGGTATGCACCAGTTTCAGTGTAAAATATTTGAATACATATTAATAGTCGTTACGTTACGTTGCTTAGAAGTGCAGTATGTGAATTAGCATTGAAATAAAATAACTTGTTTAATTGCTTGATTACCCTCGCTCGGTGGCTCTTAACATGTCTCTCATTTTTGCTGCGCACTTCGCTTCTAGAGCTGCTTAGAAATAATAATGTTCTCAATCTTTAACGACTAAAACTTTCAAAGCAATTGGTCCGGTATAGTTGATGAGAAGCGCGATTTCTTCATAACGATGAAAAGGAAATACCAACAAAAAAAAAAAAAACATAACGAAACGATCTAAAATACGTACATTTCGTGTCCAGTAAATAGAAATATTACATAAGTCGACCTATTCATACTGCTGCAGTTGAAGCAATGAAACTCAGTGATATCTTGTTGCTTTTTTATTGTGCTGTTACTACTGACCTTACAAACTATACGAGTAGTTATCCTCTCTGCTCAGCTATTGAAATCCCTATGGAAGAATATTGGAACGAATATATGTTGTTTTCCTGAAGTGTTTTGTTTCTAATTTCGCCGTAAGCAACTTTTGAATACCAGGCAATGAATTATAATTTAATCTTATTACAGAGTAACCGCAACATTTTTTGTTTCTTTCCTCTTACATACTTATATGTTGGATTTAGGCCAAGTAAAATGTAAACGTAAACGATACAATCTGCTAATAAGACTGATCACAACATCGTCGCATATGAAAATTATACAAAATACAAAACAAATAAAAAATCACTCGTCCCACATTTATTCACAGAGTGCGATGAAAATACAAAATAAGTATGCGTATGATGAAAATCAGTGAATCATTTTTGTATCACTTTTTTGGCTCATAGATGAGAAATATTTGCTATGCAGCAATTCTGATCCATTTGAAAGCGAATTATAGAATGTGATGCCAGCACACAACTAAGCGACGAAAGTATACTTTTGTATATACTACAAGTTAGAATGGGTATATACATATATACAGTACCAAAATAATGCGATAAAGAAATTCATGTCAAGAAAAAAAAAGATCCGGAAAGAAAATGAATCTGTTAGCAGCGTCATCAGCCTCGAGTCCTTGAATCGACTAGCTTCCTCGAGTATGGGCAGCCGTTTGGTGTAGACAAAAGACTGATATAAAACGAGCATTTCGATAAATGAAAGTTTCTTGCACAGTAAGACTATTGCCAAAACAACATTCGATTTTTGTGTCATTTTCCGGTTTTCTGTAAAATTTATCTCCTATTGAGATGACAGAGGATATCATCACCATGTTGCCCAACTGTGATTTTATTTCTATAAAATGCTTTAGTTTTTTTTACTGAAGTTTTTCATTATTTGAGGTCTGATCTCTCATGGCAAAAGTAACATCGTCTGCGTATTGGTCTACTCTAATTTGTGCGCGTGACGGCTTCGTTTTATTCCATAAATTTTGAATTTTGGAGTACAAATTATGCGAAAGGCTCAACACTAATAGCGTAGAGCAGCATACTCAAGGAGCGGCCCTGCTGCCGCTACAGATTGAGATCTCACCTGTTAGTCGATCTTTCACGTCTATGCAACTTTTTATGTCCGAGTACATATTTTTAATAGCATTACATGTCCTGCGCCCAAGTCCCATATATATGTTACAAGACATGAAATAAGAAGTCATGGTTAACCTCATCGAAGGCTTTCAGGTTATTGATTATGATGATTGTGGTGGGTGTGTCTTTTGCTTTGCGATGATTTATTATTGCATCGATATTATGGTGTATTTCATACATGCTTCTTTCTGGAAGGGAGCATTTATAGGTCGGGGTTATTATAATGTCCATTGTAGGTGTGAGTCTTTTCACTAAGATTTTGGGAATCATTTTATAGTCCATATTAAGAGTCGTTATCGGTGTCCAGTTTTTTAAGTTTGTCTCGTCGTTTTTCTTTTAAATATTAATTTAACTTTTGAGATGGAGGATGATTTTGGAAAAGGGCCGAAACTGATAATGTTATTAATCATTTGTGACAACTGGATTTATATTAGGTCCCAAAAGAAAACATAGAATTCTTTGGAGAGCCCGTCCATACCTGGCGATTTGTTGTTTCGAAGAGAGTTGATGGCCTTTATATGTCCACACTCGAGACATATTGTTCTGAGGTAAGGTTTTTTTCTCTCAGAAATTTGGGTAAGCCCCAGCAGTGCTAAATAGTGTTGCTGATATATATTTTTGGTTTCATGTTCTTTGCCCCAAATGTTTAGCAGTATTCCTCTGCCACCGACAGCATTTCATCCTATCCGCTGGCTACGGTGTTGTTTGAAGAGATTAATCTTTCTACCGTTTGTTGCTTAGCCCTTCTTTCGATTTTAACATAGAATGTTTTATTTGGTCGTTCATTTTGCTCTAGTACAGTGGTTCCAAGACTTTTTAAAAAAAAAAATCTATGACGAGCCCCTAGAAATTTTTTCAATGATTCCCGGACTTGTGCACTAAAACAAAACGTAAAAAGATCACAACAAAAAAACAATCCGCCGTATAGTTAAACGAACAAAAGAAATGGAGGGGGGCAACTCCAAATGACATGTGTGACATCCAGCCTGTTTCGATGTTTGCTAAACGCGAAAAGGGGCAGCCTTAGTTATAGGATAGCTCTGCAGTTAGTAAACTTGTGGTGACATGAATTGAACTCTTTCTGTGGTCCCACAGCTTTGTGACATCACGATGAGTCAGCGAGACCGAAACAGAAAGTGAAGAATCGGGTTAGCGATGATTGTAAAGCAGCGAAAGGCGACAAATGTGAATTTGCAAATTTAAGGACTTCACTTTTGTATTATCAAGCTATTAGCCATATTACAGATTTCCTTCGCGGACCCTCCGAAGGTGCTTCACGGACCCCGGAAAGTCCGCGGACCCTAGTTTGGGAACCACTGCTCTAGTACATCCATATATATATTTGATAAATGATATTTGCCAATATCAGGTCCAACTCTGTTCGCTCGTTTTGTAGGATTTTCAACTGAGATTTTAGATTTTCAATTTTAGATATATTTCCCTGATAAGTATGTCCAATTGTTTTCTGAGATGAGCCGTATTATTCTTTTTGTTTTGTGTTTGGAATAGGCGACTGTTACTTTTTTAACTTTATCCCAACAGTCCTGTGTGTAGTCATAAATTTCCAGGTCGAATAAAGCAGATTCATATAGGTGTTCTTTATGATGTTTATATATTCTGGATCTTGGTACAACGACAGATTATTGCGCCATGTGTCCCTACCCGAGCGCACCTTCCTGGCTTGCTTCAGTTCAATTGTTGGACATAGTAGCCTAGATGGTCGGATATAGTGTTTATTGAGAAATCTATGTTCGAAATTAAGTGTTCCAAGTTTAATGTGTCGTATATGTTGTCAATCCCACGACCATGTGATATGGATATGAAAGTAAAGACCTGTTTTTTCGAATATTTTTTTCTGAAGGTGTCGAAAATGTTGTTTGTTCTGATGAAGTTTTGAAAATCTTTACTGATGTGCGAAGTTATTTATCAAGTTTATTTATTATTTTATTAGGTTATTTATATTTAGGGTGTCAATTTCTTCCAAGATGAGATTGAAGTCTCCCACTATAAGAGTCATGTGAGTCACAATAGTTGGTAAGGAGATTCACGAGACTTTTATGGAAATCCCTATTTAGAGGCCCATTCTGAGCGGGGCTTACACGTTGAATATTTTTACTATTTGAATATCGATCTATATTTCGACGCTGTCAGGTCGATATTTATTGTGCACAGCATATGTTGTTGGCAAAATAGTATTTTCAAATTTCACCATGATTAGAGTTCCCTACCGAAATTGTGTATAATATTTATCAAATTTGTCCAATTTAATATAATCTATACTGTAGCCCAGAAAGTTTGCCCAAAGTGTGGTTAGTGATTGATCCACCCTGCGCGCTTCGTGAATGCATAGTAGTGTTTCCTTGCTCAGTAATGCTTTTCAAATTATTCAAATGATGTTGAACACCATTGGCGTTCATAGATATTACATTAATGCCGGACATTGCTTACAATTCTCAGGTAGTAATATTATAGGCCCATATTGGAACTAGCGGTTGTGGTAGTTATTGATATATCACGGCTTTAAAGTTACACGAAGTCATAAAAGGGGTTTAAATAGATATATGTTTATGAGTACGAGAGAATTTACAACCCACGCTTATGCATTCATTCATTTTTTCTTTTTTCCAGTCATTTTTCCTGCCGAGATTGTCGAGAAAGATGACTCCGATGACGTAGTTTCCCTATTTCTTTTGCTTGTGTATTTCGAATTGTCAATATTTTTGCCCGTTAAATCTACAATGCTTGTTGAAGTTGTGTTATTTTCCGAATTAGTGGGCGCTGACAAGATTGGCTAGGGTGAATCACTAAACAACGACGGTGTTGAGTCGTGTCTTTCATGAATATGTACCAGTACTCTGACGTACGCTCTTCCTTTCGGAGGGGCCGAAGAGGCGTATTACCTATTGTGGACGTTTGTTTTAGTCTTGATGACATTCTAGTTTGTCTTGATTGTTGTGGGGTAGTTTTTACCGGGCTGATGACGTCTCCGGCGCCGGCGTTCTCACATTCTGGCCAGTTACTCAATTCGTTCAAATCAGAGCTCGAAGTTGAGAATTCGTGTATCTAACTTTTTGTCATATTTTGATTGTCTTTCGTGTTTTGTTTCTCTTTCATCGAACCGGTAGTTGATTGCTTTTGTGCCTTGTCAGGGTCGGAAGTGTCTTCTTCCGATGCGGGGGCTATTTCTCCGCTTTTATCACTCTCATTAGGGGCGTGGTCGTTCCTTCATTAGGCGGCGTGGTCGTTCCTCATGGTTGGGTGAATTTGGGTGTTAGTTGCTGTATGTTGTCTGGGGGATCCATTTGTACAGCGGG